GACAATCTTCTGGGTGAAAAGAGTCCAGACCAGAGCCACAGCAGACAAGCATTACGAAGAAGATCGGTTGCAACTGAATCTGCAACCTAACCAAGACGGCGTGTTAGAATGTCGAGGCCGAATACAAGGGCATTATCCGGTGTATTTGCCCGAGAGTCAGCGCTTCACAGAGAAGCTCGTAACACAAGTACACCTTGGGACGCTCCACGGGGAGTCGTCAGTACCATGGCAAGGGTACGAGAGCTGTACTGGGTTCCGCGCCTTAGAAGATTGACAAAAGGAATCGTGAAGAGTTGCCACGGCTGTCGGCGGTTTCAAGCCCAAGCGTTCTCGTCCCCACCCCAAGGCGACCTGCCAAAGGATCGGACAGAAGGTTCTTCACCCTTTCAAGTTGTTGGAGTGGATTACGCGGGACCCATTAAGTATCGTATAAGCAAGAACAGAGAGGGCAAGGCGTACATCGTTCTGTACGCTTGCAGCCTGACCCGCGCCGTGTACCTCGAGCCGACCAAAACCTTGGAGACGGAAGAGTTTATCGGAACTCTCAAGCGTCTCATCGCCAGGAAAGGTCGCCCGGAGAAGATATACTCCGACAACGGGAAAACATTTGTGGGAGCAGCAAAATGGGTGAACAAGGTGATGAAGGATGAACGTCTACACGACTTCCTTGCCAAGATAAACGTGAAGTGGCAATTCAACTTGTCCAGAGCACCCTGGTGGGGTGGACAATTTGAGAGACTGGTGGGACTCGTGAAGCGAGTTTTCTACAAGACAGTGGGAAACGGAACGCTCACCTGGGACGAGCTACAAGACGTCCTGCTTGACGTCGAGGTGACACTCAACAACCGACCGTTGAGCTACCTAGAGGAAGACATTCAGCTACCCATCCTGACCCCGAGCACCTTCCTTTATGGTCAACCGAACATGCTTCCAGAGTTAGAACCTCATCACGTCCAGGAACACGACCTGCGGAAGAGAGCTAAATATTTGAGGAAGTGCAAGGATACACTATGGTCACGCTGGACAAGAGAGTACCTCCGCGGACTGAGAGAGAGACACCGGCTGAAGCACAAGGGAGACACGACCTATCCATCCAAGGGAGAAGTCGTCATCATCAAATCAGAAGAGAAGAATCGAGCACAGTGGAAGTTGGGAGTCGTAGAAGACCTAATCACCGGCCGTGATGGCGTGATTCGTGGGGCAAAGCTGAAAACTGGAAAGTCACGCCTGGAGCGCCCAATACAGCATCTGTACCCTCTAGAGCTGAGTTGTGACATGCCGATGCAGAACCCACCGGAGCCGCTGAATCCAATGGCGCCAATCTACAGGCCGCAAAGGGATGCCGCAGCAGCAGCCAGAGTTCGTATCCAGGATATGAACGAGGACGAACAATGAACTGAACAATGCATAAATTTAAGAACCCCAAGAACTATGAACATTACGAGTGAACTTTTATATTTTTTGAGCATTTCATGCCAGATGGCACATTGATTTTAAAACTCTAATATTTGTTATGTTATGATGCTGCTTGGTCAACAGACTGCAGTTCGAGACTCTTAAATTCAACGACTGATTTTCTATCTGTTGATTAAGTTCTGGACATTTGCTCTCTCGAAGCAAATGGGGGGGAGGGTGTCGTAAATCGCGTGTTTACATATGTAATCAAACCTCATATCGCATATAGAATTTGATTGTTAAGTGACCGGAAAGAGATAGGCATCGAATCTGCCAAATCAAAGGAAACATAAAACGAATCGCTTTATCTTTCGTTGAAAAATTATCAGGAGTTGTGTTGTAATAAAACCGGGGATGCTGTGAGTGAAGAATATATGTTTAAAAACCTTACATCGTGAGTGAGTGATTTAGGACCGTTTAGCGCGAGTTTATCGGGACAACAGTGTGTTGCAAGCAAATATCCCATTCCCAACAAAGGGTTTTAGGGTCCCAGCGACACATTCCCACCCCAAATTTCTTAAATTACCCCGCCTCAGGCTCGAGATGCTTTGCTTACTTGAGGTGCTTCCGCGCAACAACAAAAAAAATAGAACAAACGACAAAACAAATAAGAACATATGCCATAATTCCCCAGCAGCGCAGATTCATGAAAGATGTTCTCGTTGCCGCACCGTCGTAGTTGCTCAAGCAGCTCAGCTCAACTTAAGATCCATGTCATATAATCTGAAAATCTGCTGAAGTCATTCCCGATCAGTGTGAGCTTCCTTTTTATTCTCTCTAGTGAGAGTTCATTTTCTTTTTCCATCTAGAACACCCTTTTTAACTATCCATAGAAAGCTAATCGATGTCGAAGAGCAACGAAGTCGGAAATGGCCGGCCAGACGGTCATTTTAGTTAAAAACGAAATAATTTTTTATTTTTCCAGAGTCCGAAATATCCCTTTTTCTAATCGTTTGAAAGTATTCTATCTTCATTTAGAATAACCAAGCAATCAGGCTTCGCAGGTGAGCGGTTGTGGTTTCTTGAGCATAGAGTAGAGTCGACGCTGTTTCGACACTTAGAAAACCCGTTTTCAGACCAGACACAGACCAAAACTGAACTATGTGGCTTATACAAGGGACGGTACCCCCCGGGATTTACATGAAGTTATTTATTGTCAATATCATCATCTAACTATTATCCTGCAATTTGCTTTGGTATGCTAACTACTTGTCCCCTAGTAGCAATGAACGATACTTTGGAAGCGCGTTCCCTTTCCAAGGAATTTTTTCCAGCTTTACCTTTATCTGTGGCGTTGGCCGATACTTAAGTACTGACACAATGGCAGAATTACAGAACTCATGGAAATATAAATATCTTTATTACGTCATCCTCAAAATTAAAGTTAGGTTGGTATGAAAAAGTTACACTGATCCTTTGTTGTGACTGAAAAACAAAGCTATTTGTTGCCAGGTCAAACTGTAAAAAAGACGCGCGTGAATGAAGTAATGCAATGGTAAGATGAATTCAATAAGAAGTAAATAGCTTAGTGTGAATGAGAAAGAGGGAAAGTTCGGTAACAAGGATGTAAAAATAAAGGATAAAAAAGACAATGAACTGAATGTGTAGACATTTGTTTTCCTATCTTTGGTGTGGAAACAAAAACTAGATTTTAGGGTTAATTTAAAGTAAACGTTCAGGCGTTGATTATATATTTACGTTTTCAACGATAATTCATTCACTTTTTTTATCTTGTGAAATACTGAGGGACAAACATCCGAACTGTTACAGACAGCTGCTAAAAGAGGTTGACAGTCTAAACACGACTCCCGCTGTTTCGCGATGTAATAGTACTTTGACCTTCAAAGTTTAGCTCCAACAAGTATGTCTTTTAGAGACTTCCCTCTTCTGTAGGAGATGCGAGGTGGTTCTGATTTTCAATTAAATGCCACTTGTCCATTAATTAGAACCTTTTTAAGACTAGTCACTGATGGGTTGTACTGTGTAACAAAAGGCGTTAGTTTGTTCCTTTCTCCTTGCAGTTTTTGCTGAAGTGCCGACTCTCTATCCGTAAATTTAACTTCTGCGAGGACGTTAATTACCAGATTATCTGGATATCCCGAACACGCAAGTGTGACTTGAACTTGTTAATGCTTTCTTCAAATAATTTTTAAATCCTTTTTTCACTACCGGAGCGTGGCAGGAAGTGAAATGCGTGTATTGAAATGTCTCTGTCGGTTTAAAATGTGCACGGATGTCAAGGATAGCGTCTTCGTAACATCTCTCACCCTTAAAGATAGTGGTGTCTAGGAAAGGTATTTCCTTCTCTGAAATTTAAGCCGTAAATTTTATCGTAGGATGATGTGTGTTTGCTTCTTAAACAAGTTGATTTATCGTCTCTCTTCCTTTTTCCCACAGGGAGAAAACATCGTCAATGCATCTTTTCCACTCGAGGGGTTTGGTCTTGCTTTTACTGATAATTTCTGTTTCAATTCTGGACATAAAAATGTTCGCAAAGGCCATTGCCACGAAATAACCTGCTTTTCCGAGAACGTATAGAGCGTAAACGGTAACAAGTCCTGTAGGAAAAGTACCTTTGAATAATCTAACAATCACTTCTCCCCTTTAGATATAGTAATGTACTGATGAGCCATAACAAGAAAAACAAAACATGTTTTTGCATACCTGGATTACAAGGGAATCCTGACATTTTAAGCTCACGGCTACTTTGAGACTGAGAGTCTGTATCCGTGGATATCTGAGTTTGATATCCTGATGCAGCATCAGCTTTCATTTCACATTTTTTGTTTTTTGTTGTTCATGTGTTCTCGCCAAATGGTGAATCATGGTCCCAGGCGTTGGTCAGAAGTGAGCCCCGAAACGCTAGGAGTATCTAGTCTCTTCATCAACTGGACATAGCTCTTCTGAGAATCCAGAGGGTGAAGCATGTATTTTTGCAACAGGCTGCTTTTCAGTGACAGAAACATCCTTTCAGTATATCAACTATCCATAGAAAGCTAATCCATGTCGAAGAGCGACGAAGTCGGAAATGGCCGGCCAGACGGTCATTTTAGTTAAAAAACGAAATAATTAAGTATTTTTTTTATTTTTCGAGAGTCCGAAATATCCCTTGTTCTAATCGTTTGAAAGTATTTTATCTTCATTTAGAATAACCAAGCAATCAGGAAAACAAGAATGGCTTCATGGATGAGCGGTTGTGGTTTCTTGAGCATAGAGTAGAGTCGACGCTGTTTCGACACTTAGAAAACCCGTTTTCAGACCAGACCAGACCAAATCCATACCCGTTTTCAGACCTGATCTTTAGGCAGAAATTATGTCATTATCTCTTAAATTAGAGCGCAAACAAAAGAAATTCTTCAAATCCATTTTGAATTCCGTATTTCTCTTTCTTTCTTACTGATTTTCAGAGAACGTATAGCACTTAAAGAACCCAGATCTAACACACAAATAGTAATCAAAAAGGCAGACAAGGGCACCGCAACGGTCATAATGAACAAAAATGATAACATACTAGAAGGCCAAGTTCAGCTTGATGACAGGCAAAACTACACGCCCCTCGAAGCATAAAACTTATTAAGCCAAAATACATGTTCCCCCAAAAAAGCTCTACTGAGACTGCCGCACTCACCTGAGTTTTCCATGAAAGCTTTCTTGCAAATCAAGTAATTTTCCTCTTCTATAGTTGTCTTCAACCTGACATTGTCCATCCCGAGCTTTCTCTTGAGTTCATCAGTCACCAGGAACCTTTCAACGATGTCATTAAGGTAACCAGAACAGTAATCATTCCACAGACTTTCAAGACTCTCTAGACTGGGGCACTGTACTGTTATTATCAAAGATCCTGGTTGCACAAACAGTACGACCACTTCAAAAGCCTTTTCTATAAACTCAGCAAGGCGGGCTACTCTACTAACAAATGGCAACGACGAAAGACCTTGGTGTCTGTGGTACCTATAAGCCAACTGCTCTAATTCCTCTTTTAATATTCTTTGTTGTGCAACAGTTAAATCTTGGGTATTCACAGAAATTAGAACTTCGATCAAGGCAGTAATAACAACAGAGTCTGAAAATCAATAAGAGGAAAGTTACACGTTTTTAAAACTATAGCAAAACATTCATTATGCACAATAACTTAACACTTATTTATTTACTTATTTATTTACCTACTTACACAAATTTACGTTTTAATATAATTTTTACTGTTACGTGACAGGTTCCTTCCTCAGGGAAGATGCACCTTCATGACTAGCTATCTTAGAGGACATATGCTTCTTTAAAAAAAGATTCCCGCTCTCCTCACTTGAAGTACGGAGAAGTCCCTCACTTGTCATTTTAAAGAAGGCACTCAAGACATTTCATTCCAGAAAGCCCTTACAATGTATGTAATAAGATGCAATTTCATTACTCGTTTTTAGCGGGTTTTATTCAGTTTCAGTTAAAGTTTTATAATTTTAGTGTTTGGTATATTTTAATTTTTTGTATATTTATAAATTTATTTATTTATTATTTATTCAAAATCTTTTTTTATAACCGCTGAAGATAATGGCAACTATCAAGCGACTACTAACCAATCGGCGCCATAAGTTTTACTATCATCAATAATACACTTCTATATATTACAAGCGTAAACGGTAACAAGTCCTGTAGGAAAAGTACCTTTAAATAATCTAACAATCACTTCTCCCCTTTAGATATAGTAATGTACTGATGAGCCATAGCAAGAAAAACAACTCATGTTTTTGCATACCTGGATTACAAGGGAATCCTGACATTTTAAGCTCACGGCTACTTTGAGACTGAGAGTCTGTATCCGTGGATATCTGAGTTTGATATCCTGATGCAGCATCAGCTTTCATTTCACAGTCACTGCCGTCGTAAGAGTTTGTTCTTTGGTTGTTGTAAATTTCTATAGAAGGCTCTGAAAAAAAAAGCTTTAGTTACAATAATTATCTCTTTGAAACTCAAGGTTCAGTCAATTTCACGTGTGACCATTCTTCCCCGGGGCGGACATTTGTTGGGCATATATCAGGTTGTGTATTCCTGGGATAGAAGCTCAGCAGCCGGCGTTTTATTTCTCTCCCCGTCCCTATTTTTTCCACCTCTCGCGCACCTCCTGCGCTTGTCTCACTTGGTTAAGAATAGACATAAATGATTTCTAGGCATGATGTCTACGAAGATACCTTCATGGTCCTCAGTCATACCTTCCATCCTCTGAGAGACGTTGCACTTTGTCTTCAAGGAGCTCAGGGCCTTCAGAGAATCTTCTGTTGCAACAAAATGGAGAAAACAAGCTATTGCGGGGATTATGTGTATATAACTACACTCAAATATGTGAAGTGCTGTAAATAAGGTACTATGACCGTCTATGACAGTCTCAAAATAGCCTCCACAGACCATTCCGCTGAAAACAATGTACCTGAAGAAATAGAAACGTTTTGCTGTTAACAGAGCATACCGTTCGAAAATGTGGTCCAAGAACTACATGTATTCAGTGGTTGTGAAAGACTATCGCTGCAACCTTACATTTGCGTACACTGTGCTACGGAAACTAGCTACATTAGTGTAACGTCTGGCACAACATAATCAATTAAGTACATCAGCTTAACAATTAACTCTTACCTTGACTCATTTTCCACATTCTGTTCACGAGGGCTTCACATTGCTCCTTCCAACTGTACATCTCCTCATAAAATTCTCTCAGCCATTTAATCTCTTGAAGCCTCATTCCATGCCTGATGCGAACAGCTTCAATTGCTTTTGCCCATTCTGCAGGATCATCCGAATTCACGATGCATGCATTACCATGAAGAACATTCTCTAATGCTTTGGCAAATCCCGATTTACTACCAACGAGAATTGGTAAACCTGCAGACAAGGCTTCAAGTGCGACAAGACCAAATCCCTCTGATTTTGATGGCATGATGGCAAGGTCAGCTTCACACAACAAATCTTTCAGTTTCTCTCTACTTTGTAAAAATTTTCTGACAGTCAACTGTGCTTCTGCAATTTCACGTTGAAGAAGTTTTTCTCTAACTTTTTCTTGCTTTCCTTCAGGTGCTCCGACAAAAAATAGATGGTAAGGTTTGTTTTTTAACCGCCGATCAGTGAATGCTTGAGCAGCAATGTTGTATCCCTTGAGTTCAAAGTCCTCATCATCCCCACGACCAAATAGCAGTACTTTAAACTCAGCATGCTCATTACGGGTTTGTATTAAATCCCCAAACTCCCTTTGAAAAAGGCCTGGAGTAATGGATAAAACGTCTTGACCCGTCTTATATCGCTGTAAATATGAAATGTAGGCTTCTTTCAGTCTGGGTCCCACAGGGACAACAAGATCAGCAAGTTTGCAAAGTTCAACTTCTGATTCGTGTTTTGTTTCACCTTTTGAAATGGGGTCACTGTAGCATTTGTATCTGCTAAGGTCCTCTGGAGCTGTGTGTACCACTTGAACCCACTTACAATTTGGAAATCGAGCAGAGTCTCTAATGAATTGTACCTGTCGACCAAGTTTTACACCATGGCCAACAACAATGTCCATAACATGATCTTGGGGTGGTGAGCTTAGCCAATCAAGACGATCAAATGCTGCACGTTCTTTCGCCTCAACAATGGTGATTCCATAGCCATCTGCTTCTCTTATTTCTTCAGTGTTGCAAGCTCCCTCTGGGACTAGTAGAGAAACCTTCAATGCTGAATGATTTGCAAGGTGAATAGCAAGCTCCCTATTTATTGTTGACAACCCACCAGCAGATGAACCCCACTCATCACCAAGAAGAGTAACATGTAACACTGGATCACTGCTCTCAGAATAGCAAGCCTACAAAAACAATAACATCAACAGTGAATAGTTAGGAGATACGAGACCAAAAGACATAGCAGGTTTAGTAACCGTCAGCTGTTAGCACATACTTAATTTGTAAACTAAGTTGATAGGGGTAGAATAGGCAAATTTTCTAATCACTCCAATTCCCCAACATAGTAGCACATATTACATTGTCTTTAGAAACAAACCCCTTCTATCTGGCAGATAGGAATTAATCAGGCATATGAACAATTATTAATCAAACAAACGAATGCCCCAAATGTAATGTCCACTCCATTCCTTATTTTCACCACTCCCATTCACCAAAAGGGCATGATCACACCATTGCATGTGGTTTTCTGTTTTCTAGATGAAAGCAGTTTTTACACAGCATCTGGCAACTTTTAATGTTTCTTTTTGGGACACATCACCAAATAATCATACAGTTCTCTTCAAAGGCCATGAAATGACACTGTATATAGTGTAATAGGAATAAAATATAGCTTTTCGTAAAAAGAATTAAGAAAAAAGAATGAACCTTTGGATTGTCCAGACTGCATTCTGCTTTCATAGTCTCAGGTTGACTGGATGAGGCAGCCATGGCTGATGAAGGGAAAAATAAGAAATTAAAATGACTGCTTTAGTAGTACCAATTAGTCCTAATACTTGATGTAGGTGTGACTTTAATCACGATGTCAACCAATTTTTTTTAATTCTGAACATTCAATGTTTAGCAGAATCTGGTTATCATTGCTTTCACAGTACAATCACACTGCTGGCCACACATTATCAGAAAACATGTGGCTCTCTGCTGTCAGTGCTGTAATTAAGTAGAGGTTGTTTATCTTTTAATAATAAATTATAACTGTATAAGAACGTTATCGAGATATTTTGGGATGAAGTTTTTATTGTTAGAAATACGGTAAAAAAGGAAAATGTTGATGTTTATATAGATTGGGGTCAGCCGATTTCCTTTATTTTTTCAGCATTTAAAACCAAGCTGATAAGATTAACTTTGGTGACATTAACAAGATTTCCCGGCTTTTCACTCTCGAGATTGACCACTCCCCTAGTTTTTAGCCAAGGGTAGCCCTAAAAAACGCCAAAAACAATGGCAATTTCTCGGGTCTAAAACAATTTTTCCTTAAGGAATTAGTGCACAGATTTTTTTCTGAAGCTAAAGTACCTTAAAATAAACGTTTTGGATGTATAAAATCAAATTTTTAGTGTAACGGTAATTTTGCCCAAGGGTTTTAATCCTGGTATGTTGCGTGACTGTTACAGGACAGCGAATTTCGGCGATTTTCTAAGCCCACTTTCTTGAAAGTGCCGCTGTTTATTTGTTAAATAATTCCATTTTACAATAGTCTTTACTCTTCTAAGTCAAAAGAAAAAAAAGTATTGATTGGTACAAGAAACCCCTTTCACAGGAAGCCTATTTTCGTGAACATGATTTTGCGGTATTTTGCATAAAGCATGTAACCTTGCTTTTTGGTAATGGCCTTTAAATTGTAACTTTAGACGGCTGAAAACTTCATCACCCGTATAAAAAAAATAATAATTTGGAAAGGATACTGCAATGAAAAGAAATCAACCTTACTTTGGAACAGCGGAAACCGTTGCACTCGTACACGTATGATACAAATTATAAAGCAGACGTATTAATTAGAATGAACTATAAAGAAATGAATGGACGATTTTTAAATTGTCTGTGCGACGAATTTTCAGTCATTTTCAGTCATTTTCAGTTTTTTTACTTGGATTTTGCAGAAAATTATTGTTTGCCAAAATATGAAATTAAGAAATTAAAAAACGATTTACACGTATAATTCCAGCTGCGTAATTTGAGATCGAGCAACATCTATATGTGTCGCGCGCCGCTGGGTTATCAGGTTTCATTTACGACTCGCCGAAATTTGCGTACTTTCGTTGTACCACACTGACTTGCTTTAAAATATGAACTGTTCGTTCGCTTCACAAGAGTCACCTTGTAGTTCTTACGGATCTAGTACAAATGTTCTGCCGCAGGATGCTTGTCAAGAGGACATAACACCACACTTACTGGGACTTGGTGTGAGTAGCAAGCGAGGATGTCGATCCGAAGGAATAGAAATCACTGAGAAGGAGCTCATCTTGAACAGAGCAGGACACTTCGATTTATCTCAAGACAGAGTAGCAGCCATGACCATCTGTCCTAAACACAGAAGAGACCTGACACTCGACTGGAGAGGTCGTAAAAGTTCGACATGTTGCTATCCATCGCACAAAGGTCAACGCAAGCAGGTCAAGGACCTACGCCGTGTCAATTACGCAATGTCCAATGAAATCTTTGCTTTACAGAATGCTGCTGTCCCAGTTGGGTCCAGTGAGTGTCTCTTATTACTTTAAAATCCTTTTGTCGATCTTACCTGGTAAATTACGTTTTCCATAAATATCACGAAAGGCTCTAGGCTCTAGGCTCTAGGCGTATCGATTATGACTATTGTAGTGAAAGCGCTGGCATCAAGTTGCAAATTTTAAAGCGCCACTATATCAACAGAAGCCCGGGCGGTGGGGGTACATTTCCTTGGATGTGCCATAAATCAAACAAGGGTGAGCCATCCTAGGAGACCCAGGGGCAGTCAGTCGGGTCGGGAGAAAAGGCGCGACGAAAGTTTTCAAGCACAGACTGACTGCCTCTGGCTCTCCGAGGATGGGGTGAGCAAGCAAGATACTTTTATTCAGAACGGAGGCTAGCCTGCGAAGCGCAGACGTATTTCCGGTCGTCGCTTTTCTCCCTCCGAAAAATAACGGAGGGAGAGAAGCGACGACCGAAAATACGTCTGCGCTTCGCAGGCTAAACGGAAGCCTTTTTTGCCACAAAAAGTCTTTTCAAGTGTTGTCGTAGCAGAAGCTTTTTGGCAAGTAGGCCTCTCGGATGTTGCTCTTTTCAGAATATCCTGACAAATCCCATAATTTCACAAATTAACACCTTACTCTTACCATATTTCATTTCTTACTATTCCTGCGCATTTACAATTAATCAGTTCCACAGTCACGACGTCGAAGTGTAAACTTTAGTTAATCTACTTGGGTATGTGTTTCCCCAACTCATAATTCCATAATGAAGGTAGGAGTAGATAAGTAGATAATATATTTGTTTGAGGGTGTTTAAGTTAAGAAATGGCGTAACCTGAAAAGGATTCCCAAGCTTTTAGATATTTTGCTGTTTATGTGCTGAATGTGGGTAGCCATTTTTGTCAATGTAGATACCTAGGTATTTGATGTAGTTTTTTTCTTCAATATTGCATAAATTAAGCTTAAGTTTATTTGCTATTTTTTGGGGGGGGGGGGGGGAGGAGATTGTCATATAGTGGGTTTTCTTTTAAGTTTACAGAAAGTTTATTAGGTGAGCAGTAGCTAAGAAGATGGTTGAATTCTTCATTTATAGTTTTTTCAAGGTCCTGTAGAGAATTGGAAGAGTAGAATAGAGTGGTGTTATCAGCAAATGTTTTAATATTTGCGTTTTCTAAACAATTGGGTATGTCATTAATATACATCAAAAACAGAAGTGGGCCAAGGGTAGAACCTTGTGGTACACCACATTGGATAGAAAGTGGGTTGATTTAACATTTTCAACTTAAGGTAATTCCCTTGTTTGCACTGCGCACCCTTTACTGCGCATAACATTGTGACATCCAAGATGGCGGCGGTTCCACTAGCGCGAAAAGAACAAACAAGGGCCGCTTATGCAGAGCTACAGCTTTTATTTGCAATAATAATGTCACAGATAGGCTGACAGCTTCCTGGTCTGCTATCGAAAAACAAGAAAATGAAAGAAATGTGTGTGATCCCGAACTCTGCAGTGGTTTTTCACTTCGCGGCCGTGGAGTTGTGGAATTGTTAAAATGTCTTCGCTGAGGCTTTGGATTATGGGGCCTGTGAAGCCTGTGTGACAGCTCTACGGCTCTCCAACTGCATTAACGAGCCAGTTTCTGGCCCGGGATCGCTACTGTAAATATATTTCTCAAACTCCGAGAGTGGAGAGACGTATATTTCTGAAACAAATAAGACCCACCGTAGCACCACAACCACGCGAGGGAGACCAGTCTCCAACACGAAGTTTACTGCTGAATTTACATTTTGCTGTGTATAGAAACCAAACACGCGAACATATGAAGAATAGGAGTCAATAGTCCTTTCTTCAAGTTTCTTTGTCAAGCATTAGTGTGCAAATGCAAAAACATCGAACCCTGGCTCACTGGAATTAAGCAGAACACCGGCGCTACAAAATAGTCCAAAATGAAGATTCATAACTCCAAAATCTCATCAAATCTTGACTTACCTCATTCCTTGGTATTTAATGTACTCTTTTCAAGTTTGAATGTCTGTGTTGGCGATATCAAGCACAGAAAAACAACCGAAAACAAGCTTGATCTCGAGTGCATACTTCAAACACGATGGGCGTTATTTTGTATCTCGCCCCAGTCCCCGCCGCGCAAATTATCCATCCTGACTGCGATCTCAAAACCATGTCCACCTTTCACAGCAGTTTGTGAGGAAACAAGCACGGTGACCCCCAATTTTTTTCCTAAGTAATTGCTAAGAACAGTCTAGTAAAGAACACATTATTTATAGAAAAAAAGTTTGATAGTAGAACATGATTTTTTGGGGGGAAATAGTTCGGTATTTGGTGTATTTGGGTCAAGGCGAGGATTCAAGCTAACCACGGAACTGTCCGAAAAAGTGCAATATCCCATCAACCAGGCAATCAAAAACGAATTAAATGAAGCAATAAAGCTTATTTGAATAAAAGAAGCTTTATATTCAAGATAAAAAATGTTTGTTTCAAGTAACAAATACTTAATTCTGTAAGACGGGGATTCGAATTTTTTCCCTCACAACCAGTAAAAATACCCCAGTTTAAGAGCTTGCTGACACGTAAACAAGCACGGTGACCCCATCTTTTTATTGCATTTTTTTAATGTTCATATCATGAATGTTGATTATGCCAAGTTTCAAAAAAAAGTTTGATAGTAGAACAATTTCAAGGGAATTACCTTAAACATACTGTGTTCTGCTTTCAAGATAGCTTTTAAACCACTGGAGAGGGACACCACGGATCCCGTATTTGTATAATTTCTGTAGTAGGATCTGATGGTTGATAGTATCAAAGGCTTTAAATAGGTCAAGAAAAATACTGCATATAGCTTCATTGCTGTCAATTTTCATTTTAAAATTGTCACTGAGTTCAAGAATTGCTTGCTCGTGGAATAGTTTTTCCTGAAGCCAAATTGGTGTTTAAATAGAATGTTTTCCTTCCCTAGGAAATGATTTAGTAGTAAAAGAACTAACGGCGATTTCATTATATTCTATGCTCAAGCAAGCAGAACGAAACTGACGGTACTTAGCTAACTGATTTCAGGAGGTTGCAGCGAGGCGTTTCATAGAAAATCAGTGTAATTTATTGACTGCCAGGCCAGCATTCTACTCCTGGCTGGGTATTACTGCGATTTGAATATCAAACACCCCATAAACAAACGAAAATAAACGGGGACCTCGACTGATTTCATATCTTGAAACTTAATTGCTCAGTTAAAAAATTAGAAAACAAAACGTTCG